GTCTCCCTAACAAGACATGAGTCCATCTGGCCCCCTAAGAAATATTTACAACATTATTGATTATATTCCCCAGACTGTCTTTTCTATCACTGAGGCCATATTGTAGTTACCAATTTGTATTGTCTCGTCCCTTCCCCTTCCCCTTCTCCTTCATCTCCAACCCCTCCCAACTAGCAACCCTCAGTTTTTCCTCCACTAGTGTGATTTTAAGGTGTGTATCATTGGCCTCAGAAGCCCCTTAACCAGATTCCCCAGGCCTTCTTGGGGAGGGGTTTTCTCTCCTTCGGCAACTCTGAACTCTGGCACCTTCCAGACCCAGGCCCACTCTCCAACATGGGTGGCCAGGCAGGCAGTGCCCCCATCCTGGCGGTGAGCCTGACGGGCTCTCTGTTCGGTCCTAGATCAATGGCATTGCACTGGACAACAAATCTCTGAATGAGTGTGAATCTCTGCTGCGTAGCTGCCAGGACTCCCTGACCCTCTCCCTCCTGAAGGTAAGGGTCCCGCCCCACCGTCCCATCCTTGCCGCCTGGGGGCTGGGCAGACCCTCAGCTCCACGTGCCTGCCTTACTTCTCTCTGTCACCAGGATCCTTGAAAAAGGGGATTGGTTTACAAAGTGCAGGGTGTGCAGGAACCCTGAGCAGGTGCTGGCTTAAAAGCAAACACAAAACAAAACAGCTGTGAAGGATGTTTTGAGGACAGTGGGGTGCCTCTGAACCTGGACTGAATAATTCATTGATTTTAGAGAATTGTTCATTTTCCTGAGTCTAGTGATGGTACTAGGGTTATATAGGAGAATGGCCTTATTTTGGGGAAGTACATAGTAAAGTTCTTAGGGGTGAAATGTCATATTTGTAACTTACTTTCAAATGTTCTGCAGTATTGATACAGACAATTTGGTAAAATATTGTTGGATCTAAATGGTGGGTTTAGGTACTTTTCTTTCAAGTTTCCTACACAGTTGAAAAGGTTGATAATAGAAGGTTGGAAAAAGTAGCCCATCCACTTCATTAAGTGGTGTTTTTAAAAATTAATCATTTGAAAAATAATAGACTCTCTTGGGAGCAATTTTAGGTTTACAGAAAAGTTGAGCTAGTACAGAGTCATCGCGTTTCCCCCTTCTGCTTCCCCTGTTGGTAACATCTTACATTAGGGGGGTTCGTTTGTTACAATTGATGAGCCAATACTAATAAATTAGTGTTAGCTGAAGTCTGTAGTTTGCGTGAGGGTTCACTCTTGGTGTTGTACATTCTGTGGGTTTGGACAAATGTATAATCACATGTATTTACCATTATAGTATCGTCCAGAATGATTTCAGTGTAATAAAAATCCTTTGTTCTTCATTTATTCATCCTTTTCTCTGTCCTCCTCACCCCTGGAAACAATAGATCTTTTTACTGTCTCCATAATTTTGTCTTTTCTATAATGCATGTAGTTGGAATCATACAATATGTAGCCTTGTCGGATTGTCTTCTCTCACTTAGTAATATGCATTTAAGTTTCCTCTATGTGTTTCCATGGCTTGATAGCTCACTTCTTTTTATTGCTGAATAATATTCCGTAATGTGAATGTACTACAAGATACGTATTTTTAATAATGAGCCTTTTTCATATAATAACTTAAAAAATATGCAGGACATTGTGCCAGTGATTTCAGAAAGAACTCAAAGTCAAGAGAACTTTATGGCTGTTCTGAGGGTTCTCAGTCACCAGGGCAGTGAGAAAACCTCACCTGTCAGGGTCAGGGGTGTGTCTCTCTCTCTCTCTCACTCTCTCTCTCTCTCACTCTCTTTCTCTGCATGTGTGTGTGTGTGTGTGTGTGTGTGTAGCCCATTCCTGACCATTGCTCTACCTGCAGGGACATAGGGACATTTTCAGTGGCGGCGCCAGTTTTTGCAAGTCTTTCCTGTTCTCCTTCTCACTCCTCTGCCATTTCTACTTAGGTGTTTCCTCAGAGCTCCTCGTGGAGTGGCCAGAACATCTTTGAAAACGTCAAGGACTCTGATAAGATGTTGAGCTTCCGAGCCCATGGCCCGGAGGTCCAGGCTCAGAATAAACGGAACTTGATGCAGCACAATAACTCCACGCAGACAGACATCTTCTGTGCAGACAGGCTGGAGGACAGGAAGGAGCTGGGCCACCCGGGCGGCAGCAGCTCCTTCCTCCACAAGCCTTTCCCCGGGGGACCCTTCCCAGCCGCCCCCCAGGCCTGTCCCAGTGCCTCCGAGCGTAGCCTGAGCTCCCTCCGCTCAGATGCTTCTGGGGAGCGTGGCTGTGGGCTGGTGGATGTGCACAGCCGGCGGCCACTGCTGCCCTTCGAGACTGAGCCGGGCCCCTGTGGAGTGTCAGAGGCCCCCGCGGATAAGGCCGAGCCTGAGAGCTCCAACAGTGGCGGGACCTGGCCCAAGGCCGTGCTCAGCTCCACGTCAGGGCCCGAGAAGCTCTCTGTTTACAAGAAACCAAAGCAAAGAAAGTCTATCTTTGATCCTAACACTTTCAAGCGCCCCCAAACGCCCCCCAAAATAGACTACTTGCTCCCCAGCCCTGGGCCTGCTCACTCCCCCCAGCCTTCCAAGAGGGTGGGGCCTCTGACGCCCCCAAAACCTCCCAGGAGGAGTGACTCCATTAAGTTTCAGCACAGGCTGGAAACCAGCTCCGAATCAGAGGCCACCCTGGTGGGCAGCTCCCCATCTACCAGCCCCCCGAGCGCCCTGCCCCCTGACGTGGACCCTGGGGAACCCATGCACGCCTCGCCCCCTCGCAAGGCCCGGGTCCGCATTGCTTCCAGCTACTACCCTGAAGCGGATGGGGACTCCTCCTGCCTGCCTGCCAAGAAGTCCTGTGATGAGGACCTCACCTCCCAGAAGATGGACGAACTGGGACAGAAGCGCCGCCGGCCAAAGTCTGCCCCCAGCTTCCGGCCCAAGCTGGCGCCAGTGGTGATTCCTGCTCAGTTCCTGGAGGTAGAGCCAGCCCTGTGGTGGGTGAGGGGTGCGAGGGGTAGCTGGCTGTAAGAGGGTCCCAAGTGGCCCTGGCTCCTTGCCTCCGCTCTCAGTACCGACCTGAGGGAAGGGGAGGTGGCAGGTGGGTGCCAGCAGGAAGCAGCACCCTCCTTCAGAGGTTGGAGAGGAACGTGGGGGGTGCGTGTTAGTGGGACTAGGACACCAAGAGAGGAACGTGTTCTTGGATGTACCGTTTGATTAGTTTATTCAACAATGAGATTTTGAACTTGTGCAACAAAACCAGGTAACGTGGACCTGCCTTGAAGGGTTTAGGGAGAGAAGATAGCACTTGTGAATCTGTTAGCTGGCAGCAGGACAGGCTGGCTTGTTATCGCGGGTGCTGTACTCACTTCTGAAAGGGAGAGATTGCTGTGAGCAGAACAAATCCATGCTACTCTGCAGACAGAGAGCTTCACACAGCTCTGCAAGCTATGCAGAGTTGTTAACATCTATATCTGATGCACACTAACAGTTCACCTTCTGCACATAGAACCTCTGTTTATTTGAAAGAGCAGACTCTTTTCTGTGGTTTTCTTCCAGAGTATTTTTGAAGGAAGTTCTTCCGTTCTAGGTGTGTAAGGCAACTTGGATGAGCAGTGACCTCTCCCGACTGTCACCTCGTGTGTCCAAGTGGGAGGAGTTAGTGTGTAAGGGACAGAAATCGCTTGCCAACACCTGTGCATTATCCTGCTTCCAGCCACTCCCTGTTGCTTTGGTTCTGCAGGATCAGAAGTGCATCCCAGCCAGTGGAGAAGTCTCCCCCGAGCTCCAGGAATGGTCCCCGTACTCACCGGGGCACTCCAGCCGGCACAGCAATCCCCCGCTCTACCCCAGCAGGGCATCTGTGGGTGAGTCAGCTGGGCAGGGCTGGGAGGAGGAGGCCCACAGGTCTGCCCAGTCCTAGGGGGAGCGGAGGTGGTCATTTTAAGGAGGAGCTATGTGTCCTCAGCCCAGAGGTCCGAAGAGCTGCCCTGTCTGGGGTGATGTTAGTCTTACGTCAGTGACATTTCCTGGCTTTGAAGCGTGTTTTCTCCTCATAGCAGCCTGGGGAATAGGAAGCAGCAAAGCGAGCGCTCCCGTTCTACAGGTGGAGCCAGGCCAGAGGCTTGCACAGGCCCGGCGGGCGGGGTACCTGGAGGCGCTTGTTCTCACCGTGCACATTTCTAGGGACCGTTCCCCGGAGCATGACCCCAAGCACCACTGTGAGCTCCATCCTGAGGAACCCCATCTACACCGTGCGCAGCCACAGGGTCGGCCCTTGCGGCTCTCCACCCGTCCCCAGAGAGATCGGCCCCCAGGGTTTGCAGCCCAGGTATGTGAAGCCACCCACACCTCCCTGCACCCCAGACAGGTAAGCCCACCTGGATGTAAAACCACTGGTGCATAAAGAGGCTTGTGGACAGACAGGCTTCCTTGCCTAGCTGGAACGGGGCTGGTTTGAGCAGCTCTGGGACCCTACGGAAAGTGAACTTTAAGGATGCTCTCTTGGTTCACCAACATGGAGCTTGAAATGTATTTAAAGAAAGATGATAGTGATGGTAGCCAGTGCTTCAGTGCTCACGTGCCAGGCACTGTGCTCAGACCTTTGTCTTCGCCACAGCATCCTTAGGGGCTAAGGACTATTATTGTCTCTGTTTTATAGATGAGGAAACTGTGCCTTAAAAAGTGAGTGGAGTGGCTCAAGGTCACTCTCATTTATTCATTCATTCATTCGTTCATCCATTCATTCATCCATTCAGTTATTGGACAAGTATTTCTTGAGCACCTACGATGTGCCATGGACTGTTCTAGTTCCCAAGGGGATGCAGTGGAGAACTAAACAGACAACCTTCTTCTGATGGTGGCTTTTGTGTTCACGTGTGGGAGGCAGACAGAAAAAAGTGAACAGAGTGATACCAGGTGGTGCTGAATAGCTCTGAAAACCATAAAACAGGGCGACAAGCCAGGGTGACTTGGAAGAGGGTAGAGAGTTGGATTGGGTGGTCGGGAGGGCCTGCCGATGGGAGGATGCTGCTGTGACCACGAGGCTGAGAAGAGGCCAGCTGCACAAAACCTTGGGCGGAGTCCCCAGGAAGGAGGGCTGTCAGTGCTGTGGCCCAGACACCTGGGAACAATGCGGGGGGCTCTTGGGACAGAGTGGGGGAGCTTGGCAAAGGTATGGTGGGTTAGGAAGCAAGCCCAGGTCGCAGGGCACAGATCCTACAGGGCCTGCAACCATAATGCAGAGTTTGGGTTTTATTCTGAGTGCAGTAGACACCACCAGAGGGATTTAGGCAGGGAAGAGACATAGTCTCATTATGCAGCTAGGAAAGGACATCGCTGGGCCTGACTGCAGGCCCGCTGATGGGAGTGATCCCTGCGCTCTCTGCCCTCTGGTTTCCTCTCCAAGGTCCACAGTGCCCGTCTAGCCTCTCCCTGCCCACCCTGGGGGAGAGGCCCCACTTGCCTATGCCCTCCCAGGATGCAGAACTTCTTTTCCCTGTAGAAGCCCTTGCTGCAGTGAGCCTGACCCCAGCTGATGGAAGTGGACGTGCCACTCCTGCTCTATTTGTGCGGCCCTTTCTACCATGTGCAGGGTCCTTATTGGATGCCCCCTTTGGGCATAGTTGCGGGCAGGCCGCTGTCCTCAGCTGACAGCTGGTGGCTTCTGGGCCCCCCTTCTGCTGGCCCAAGGGGCCTTGGCCCAGGCCCATCACTGGTGTTTCTTCGCAGTGGCTGCATCTGGTTCTTCTGCCCAGGTCCCTCACTTGCCTGCTTCTCTCGCAGTGTCCAGCACCAGGGACGCCTAAGCTTGGACCTGAGCCATCGGGCCTGCAGTGACTACTCTGAGATGAGAGCCTCCCATGGGTCCAATTCACTGCCCTCCAGCGCCCGCCTTGGTAACTGCTCCACTAGGGCCTTCTCACCATAGTCAGGCTCCGACCTTTTTCCAGCCCCGCCTGTGTCCTCATGCCCAGACCTCCTGCTGGCCTGCCCACACTGCCCCTCCCTTCCAGGCCCTCGTCGGCTCTGTATGCCGTTTCCTTTGGCCTCCTGTGTCTCGTCAGCTTTCCCCAGTGGCCATGTGCTTGTCCCCTGTGGCCCTTTGGCCCAGGAGCTCTGCTCCCTGACGCTGAGCTTTTGGTCATTCTGGGGGAGTCCATATTGCCATTCATATATGGGAAATGCAGCCCAGAGCAGAGTCTTAGCACTTACCTCATAACGAGACTGATGTCACTGCTTCCAGCCTCGTGAGAGAGGGTGAGCAGCTGCCTCTGTCACTTGGGCTACTGTCCCTGTTCCAGAGTTAAAGTGAGATTTGTGTGGTCCCATTCTGGAGCAGCCTAGGCCTGCTCAGTTTATTCAAATACTGGGCATTACATATCTGCTCTCCTTGCCTGTTCCTCATTTATGCCCTCTCCGGGTTAAAAAATGGGCCCCACTTTGCATTTTGTCATACTGTGCATCTTTGCTGACCACTGAAGCGGTGGTGAGGGAGTGAGAGGCGAGGCGTTTCATCACAGGTCTAAAGTTTTGTCCCTTTGTGGAACCATTAGGGTCTTCAAGCAACTTGCAGTTCAAGGCAGAACGCATTAAAATCCCATCAACGCCGCGGTATCCCCGTTCTGTCGTGGGCTCCGACAGAGGTGAGAACTTATCAGCACTCTCCTCCCCGCCTGCTGTTTCACTCTGTCCTCATGGTGGAGGGTCTGGCCACCGCTAGACCAGCCTCATCATCTCTACCAGTCAGTAAGCACTGGCTGAGCGCAGCCTCAGGCCTAGTGATGTGGGGATAGGAAGCCACACGACCCCAGCATCTGAACTCGGCCACGTGGTGTGGCCGCAGCATGGAGCCATGTGTCTGGATCACGTCTCTCTCTGGGTCTTGGCTGCTGGAGAACCGAGATGCAAGCCCGCGGCCCGCGTCACCCCGCACGTCTCCCGGCAGGTTCATTGTCGCACTCGGAATGCAGCACACCTCCGCAGTCACCTCTCAACGTCGACACCCTGTCCTCCTGTAGCCAGTCCCAGACCTCAGCATCCACGCTGCCTAGGATTGCTGTCAACGCTGCGGCCCTCGGGGAGCGGAGAAAGGACAGGTGAGCGTGACCTGGGCACCTGTGCCGGGCGCAGCAGTGGACAGTGCGTCCCCGTGGCAGGCAGGGCTCAGCTGAGCGGATGGGCTTGTTGGTAGAAGCAGCGGGAATTGCAGAGTTCCAGTTGAGTTGATCCCAGGGCGAAGCTGCTGTGGTTTGGGTCACTTAGCATTGTGTGTTGCCCCAGCAACCTGTCTTCTCAGCCGAAGTGTGTCCTCTGCATCTTTCTATGTCAGTAAATCCTGATTTGTGTCATTCGTAGCGGCTTCATCGTATGGCTGTTATCATAAGTCAGTTACCTGCTCCTCTATTGAAATAGGTGTATTGTTTGGAGGTGGAGCAGAGGGAAGGGTATTCAGTGGGAATGGGGAGCCCCAGGTCGGAAACCTGCCACACCTGTGAGCTGGTTTGGGGAGGCAGCCTGCTCCCGCCCAGTCCTGGGCCTCAGTGCCGTCCTCCTGGGCTGGAGCATGAGGATGGTGTTGGGGTGACTGCTCACTAAGGGCTCTTAAACTCGAAGCTGCCTTGTGCTCTCATACGTGACAGAGGGTGCAGGCCATTGAGTGATGCGTCTGAGCGGGAGGGTTAGGTAGGCATTGCAGGGTGGGTGTGTGTGGGAAGGGGAGAGCGCTTTGAAGGGCGTTAGAGGGGAAACAAGTCAAGAAGTAATGTGACTTCACCATCCCCGGAGGACTGGGCCCTGGGCAGTGAGGACGCAGCCTGAGGCCCACCGTGCTCCAGAGACTGCTGAGCGTCTGGGTGGCGGGGCAGGGCGGTTCAGGGGTCTGCTGTCTGCCTGCCCGCCTTCCCTCTCGTCCTTCCACGTGCTCCACCCCCACCCATGTGCTCTGGAGGGCAGCCGAAGGATGAGGCACCCCTACTGGTCCTCCCTTTGACCACAATATTGTCCTAACAGGAAGAGCTCAGGGCAGCGTGAAGTGCAGTCCTGATGGGACGGCTCAGTGTCACTTGGCTGTCTTTCTGTCTGTTATGTTCCAGGCGTCTGTGCTTGTCTTCCTTCTCTGAGCATCCCTCTCTTTCTAACCTTTTGCACCTTTCAGATGTCTCCACCACCACAGATCCCTCCTGAGACTGCCCATGGCCGGCAGGCCCAGGTCCTCCTCCCTGAGGAGTCTGAGGTTGGCCTGACATGGGCCTGAGCCCCCTCGTGCCCTTGGCATGCTGGTCAGCTCCCCCGGGGACCAGCAAGTGCATGGTCACTGCCTTGCTCCGAGCCTCCACATTCCCTTTTTAATGGCTTGGGTTTGCAATAGCTTAATTCTCATGATCATTTTACATCAATCACCCTGTGCACTGGTCAATATAAAAATTGATAGGCTATATTGTCTCTTTTTGGGTGAATGTCATCTCAGAAGCCATTTCTTTTTAAAGAGGGCATCTTTATACCCCACTGAGGGTTTGTAAATGGCACATTAAGGGAACTCTTCTCACGTTATGAAAATCTTTGGGCTGTTTTCCTGTGTATATCAGTGTTTTATAGTTCACATGGACCATTCTTTCTTTGTGTCTTTGGGACTGGGTGCTTCCTCGTCCATTTGGGGGTGTTGTGTTTGTGTAGCATGAGATTGTGGGGACCTGTATCACTATCATACAAAGGCGGGGTCACCGTGTTCCCATCCAGCTGGGTCATTGCAGGAACATCAGGTGTTCTCTGGCCGTGTCTGCATAGCTGATTGCATGCCTGACCTCAGATCTTCCCCAAACCTTTCCTTTGGGTCCAAGTCCCCAAAACTGTCGTCTCTCTTCCAAGGCCCTACATGGAAGAGCCGCGCCATGTCAAGCTGCAGAAGGGCCCAGAGCCCCTCGGTATCTCCATTGTGAGCGGAGAGAAAGGTGGCGTCTACGTCTCCAAGGTGACCGGGGGGAGCATCGCTCACCAGGCTGGCCTTGAGTATGGCGATCAGTTACTTGAGGTAAGTGGGAGCTGCCCTTCTGCACTGCTTTCTACTAGCCCCCCTTGCCTCCCTTTTGTGGAAAAGCAGTGCTCCCCATGTCCCCAGCCCACCCCATGTCACTGAGCCTGCTCTGGGTACTTCCTAGTTCAATGGCATAAACCTGCGGAGCGCCACAGAGCAGCAGGCCCGGCTCATCATTGGGCAGCAGTGTGATACCATCACCATCCTGGCCCAGTACAACCCACACATGCACCAGCTCAGCAGCCACTCCCGGTCCAGGTGAGGGCCTGGGCCTCTGCGGGGCTGTCCGGTCTGGGGGAGGAGGAAGGGGTATGGCAGGTGCATGGTTCACCACAGGGAGACCCAGGTGGCCAGCTGCAAGTTCTGGGCATTCTGCTCCCCAAAGAGGAGAATTGACCAGCCCTGGATTTTGGGAAAAGTACCTAGAGAGGATGTGTCCTCCTGAAACAGGGTGTGGAACCAGATGGCTGGGTCCCCCTGTGCAGCAGGAGGCCCATGCATGAGGGTGTGGTAGCCAGGAGCTGGGGCCCCGGGTGGGATTCGCACACACAGCCCTGTCCACCAGCAGACTCTGCCTGTATATGCCCGTGCTGTGGGTTACAGGGCAGATGAGGGAAGAGTAAGACATGACCCTGCCACGCAGCACCATACAGCTCAGCGAAGGAAGCACAGACAGGAAAAGGGACAGCGAATTCATGTGTTCTCTAAGCTGACACCTTCACAGAGGATCCCTGAGTTAGGGACACGTGGTGAGGAGAGGGCCAGCAGATCCTGCAGATCAGAGTCCAAGCTCCTGGGGCACCTTTCTCAGGGTTCAGGGCGCAGAGCCCTGCTCACAGCCCAGCCCTGGTCCCCACTGCAGCGGGGTGGCTCCAGGCTGCTGGGGCTCTGTGCTGTTTCCTTATCCTTCCTGTCCTCCACACCCAGCTCCCACCTGGATCCTGTCGGCGCCCACTCCACTGTCCAGGGCAGTGGGGCTGCCACCCCGGAGCATTCCTCTATCATTGACCCGCTGATGGAGCAGGACGAGGGCCCCAGCACACCCCCGGCCAAACAGAGCGCCCCCAGCTCCAGGTCAGCAAATGCATCGTGCTGTGAGCTTTCCACTGCCGGCGAGTGGGACAGGCGAGGCGAGTCATTGTCCTGGCCTGAGCACATCCTCTGAAGGCCATGGGCACCGGACAGCCAGTGTCAGCCTGTACCGCAGACCACACAGCAGGCTGGCAGGAGTTGGGGTGGGGAGTATGGCATTCTTTTTTTCCCTCCCTCCTCTCCTTTCTTGCTTTGTTTTTTTCTTTTTTTCTCATGAGTTGTTCTTAGCTCTGCCTCTTCATTCTCTCCTCCTTTTCTTATTCACTCATTTTCTGACTTGGTCTTTAGACGGAATTCCACATTGATCTCCCAGCCAGGCCCTGGGCTCTGGCCATCAATAGCAGTGTCTCCCAAAGAGCTCTGGGTTTGCAGGGTGAACAGACCAGTGCCAGGCATATGGAGCACAGCTGACGTGCTGGGAAGGGCAGTACAGGCCGGAATGGAGTCCTTAGGAGTGTGACGAGGAACAGTGACCGCTAAGGCAGAACATTCAGGATGAGCCGGGCTTAGCCATGCGAAAGGTGGATGTGGAGAGAAGTCAGGAGGCGGGATCCGCTTATGGGCACGTATGGGAGGTGCAGAGGGCATGAGAGAGCCACACGGGCCAGGGCATGCAGCAGTCAGTCTGCAGTCCTGGGAGGAGCCATTCCCCTGGCACGGTGGGGCCTTGACCAAGGATGAGGCAGCTCTGTGTTCTTTGTATCAGAGTCTGTCACGTTGGAACTTACCTGCAGTATCGTAACTACCAGCTGGCTCCTCCCCTGAGGTCCCCTTCCTCAGGCTCCATTGCTGTCCTGCTTCCTTCACTCAATCTGTTGCCAACGTCTCAGTTTCCCTCACTGCATTGTGAGTTCCTTGATGGCAGGGGGTCCCCTCTTTGTGGTTTAGCACAGTCCCTGCATTTTAGAAGCTGCTCAGTAAACATTTGGCAAATTAATTGTGCTCTGGACATTGGGACTGGCTGTAACTTTCCTTAGGCAGAACAAGGTTAGGAAAGCAGGTGCAATCCAGGTGGGAGGGGCCCAGCCTAAGGCATGTGATTGACAGCCAGACCAGAAAGCGGGGGTGTTGATTTTCACTCTGTTCCCAACTGGCTCTATCACTCGTGGCCATGCTTTCGCCTTTGCCAAACCTTGGCATCCTGCTTATAAGCTAAGCCCCTAGAGCTGGAGCCTGCAGTGGGACCACTGTTCAGCTCCCTATGGTCTGAGACCTCATGGCTCCTGGGAACAAGCAGAAATGGTTAGGGCATTAGCCACTGCTTTGTCTTTTTCATGCCCTCTTTTCTCCCTGTGCATGATTGAGGAACTGAATTTTCTTTCTTGAAAGGGTGTTGGGAGATGCCAACAAGAAGACCCCAGAGCCACGAGCTGTCTTCATCAAAAAGTCCCAGCTGGAACTTGGAGTGCATTTATGTGGTGGGAACCTGCATGGGGTGTTTGTGGCCGAGGTGGAGGATGACAGTCCTGCCAAGTGCCCCGATGGCCTTGTGCCAGGGGACCTCATCCTCGAGGTGAGTTCTGAGCTGCTGAGCAGCAGGCCAGGCCCCACTCTGTCTGCACTTCAGGCTCTCTGCGATCTCAGGTGGCACAGGAGGTGAAGGAGCACAGTGTCTCCTCTGGTGACCCCTGGACACTCTGGGCAGGTCATGGGGAAGTGGGTGGGGCCCCAGCTTGGGCACTAGTGTCTGGAGGGAAGATGCGTCGCCCTTATCAGCAGCAGGACTGCGATCTGGTGGAGAATGTCATCTCCCTCTCATGGCGTCTCCCGTTCGATCGGGGAGCTGGGTCATAGGTATTGAGAAATACAAGTCACAGGAGCAAAGTGAAGCGTGGTGTTTTGAATGGCCCTTACGGGGGGACAGAACAGGGTTTCTCCTGGGAGGAGCCAGTGAGGGTAGAGCAGACACGGGGCAGAGGGCCCGGCCCTGCCTGTGGAGAGGAGGCAAGCCGATTCTCAGTTAACGGGAGGTTGACTCTCCCTGCCTTACCCCACCACCCTCCAAGCCACCCCTGGCACTGCCCCCTGACCTCGGTCTCCCACCCCTGGGCAGTACGGTGGTCTGGACGTGCGCAGTAAGACGGTGGAGGAGGTCTACGTAGAGATGCTGAAGCCCAAGGATGGCGTCCGCCTGAAGGTGCAATACCGCCCTGAGGAATTCGCCAAGGTCAAGGGCCTGCCTGGCGACAGCTTCTACATCAGGTGCCAGTGGCCAGGGGTTCCAGGGATTCGGGACCAGGGGAGGGGCATTTGGTGGAGACTGTTCCCAGTACATGTCCCTGTTCTTGCCCCCAGAGGGTGGGGCTGTGATCGTCATTACTTGGACCCCAAACTGCAAGCTCATGGTGAGGTGCTTGCGACTTAGAAAAATGCTCGAGGGCTTACAGGGCTAGATGGGCTGCCTTTATAGAGCTTGGGGCCTGGGGGATTTTGAGGCTGCAGAGCCCCATTTTCCTGTGGGCCATGCTCATCTCCTGGTCTTCCCCTGACCCAGGTCTGCAGATCCTTCTGCAGTGTGTGCCCACAGTGCCCTGAAGTGCTGTGAAGTGTGTGTGGGGAATGGCCTCAGGCAGTGTCCAGGAGGGGCTCAGAGCTTCCTTCACATTTCCAAAGGCCGCAAGGAGAGTAAAAGCGGCCCCTGGAGCTTGGCGGCAAGGCGTGTGGCTGTCCTCCAGCAGCCAGCAGCTCCTGATCCTATTCCCTCATCGCCTGGTCCAGGGCCCTGTACGACCGGCTGGCAGAGGTGGAGCATGAGCTGAGCTTTAAGAAAGACGACATCCTCTATGTTGACGACACCTTACCCCAGGGCACATTTGGGTCCTGGATGGCCTGGCAGCTGGATGAGAATGCCCAGAAGATGCAGCGCGGACAAATCCCCAGCAAATACGTGTGAGTGTTCTCCACATTTGGGTTTGGAGGTGCTGGGGGATGGGGCACCTGTGGCGCTCTGTCATGGCATGAGGACCAGGGCCCTGGCCGCTGGAGGACTCCTGCTGCTCGTCTTGGCTTCTGGTCTGTATCGTTTGCCAAGATCGCTGTCCAAAAGCTGCTCCCAGTGTAAGTCAGTGCTGTATGGGAGTTGGTGCTATACAGAAGCACAGTGGCAACTTAGGAGATGCGGCTTTTATTTTTTATTTTTTTTATTTTTATTTTTTATTTAGCTGAGTCATCCTGCCACTTGTTGGCAGCTCAGCAGCTGCTCAGCTCGGGCCAGGACTCGAACCGCTGTTGCTCAGAGCTCACACTCTTGCGCGAGCTCTTAACCAACTGAGCCACGCGGCCGGCCCTCGGCTTTTATTTTTAACACATTTATTGATATATGCTTCACACACCATACAGTTTACCCGCAGTGTACAATTCAGTTTAGTACACACAGATATGTGCAGCCATCGCCACAGTCAACTTTAGAACATTCTCATCACAGAGAGAAGCCCTGTACTCTTCGGCTGTCCCATACCCTGTCCTTCCGCCTTCCCTGCCTCCCTCCACCAGCCCTAGGCGGCCACTGACCTGCTCTCTGTACCCACAGAGTTCCCTGTTTGGGACTTTATATGGATGGAATCATATAATGTGTGGCCTTCCGTGACTGTATTTCACACCTGCCTGCTCTGCAGTATGAAGCAGTGCTTCGTTCCTTTTTGTGGCGGGAAGCATAACTTGTAATGTCTCCACGTGTAGGCTGCCTCGCAGTTCCTTTAGACTCATCTGAATGTAGGAAGTGGCCTGCTCTGAGAGCTTGTACCGGCACTGGTGTTTGCGATGCCACCACAGCAGCAGGACCCGGGGTCCTCGGTGGCATGGGTGGGTGAAGTAGCCATGCGACCTGCAGAAGAGTGTTGGAGGAGCCTGGAGCCCCAGCTTTTGCTCACCTCATGGTCAGGGCAGGCGGGAGATGGTCCCTGTGGCCCGTCTCAGCACCGCCGTTCCCTGTCACCACAGGATGGACCAAGAATTCTCCAGGAGGCTCAGCATGTCTGAAGTCAAAGACGACACCAACGCCGCCAAGACGCTGTCAGCGGCTGCACGCAGATCCTTCTTTCGAAGGAAACACAAGCACAAACGCAGCGGGTCCAAAGATGGGAAAGACCTCCTTGCCTTGGACACCTTTTCCAGTGACTCCATTCCACTCTTTGAAGGCAAGTGGCTGACCTCGCTCTTCTGGTGGGCTCTCAGGATTAGGTTTGCTTAGGTTTGCTAAGTCACGGGAGCCTCACAGCAGGGACTTAACCAAGGTAGAGGTTTGCTTTGCTTTTGCACAGATGCAGCCTAGAGGTAGGTGCCCAGGTTGGACTGGTGGTGCTACTGTCTTCAGTCTACCACCCATAGGATGTCGCTTCTATCCTCTAGGTCTCCCTACGGGTCACCACATGTCTTTGCAGCTCTAGGCATCACGTCCATGTTCAGGCAGCAGGAAGGAGGTGCGGGCAAAGCTAAAACACAGTGCGCCTCAGCTGAGTGCCTCTTTAAGTAGCGTACCTGGAAGCCCCACCCTGCGACTTCCACTTTCATTTCCTTGGCCACTCACACCTACCAGAGGGATGAAAAGGCAGGGTTTTAGATGGCAGATGGCCGGCCTCCAGGAACGCAGGTTCTGTTAGTAAAGAAGAAAGGAAGGACAAGTACTGAATGGGCAAAAAGCAGTCTCTGCTCAATGCGCTGCTTCTAGTTTGTTTTTGGGCTATTACAGGCTCCTTAGTGGTGACCTAGGACCACCAACTTCCGCAGATCTTTGTCCTTTTGTGGCCTCACTCTTGTTTCTGTTAATGGTTCTCACAACATCCAGCCGGGGCTGCATGTTAGGGCGTATGAGACATCCCGGGCAAATGGCCCTTGTGGAAAGGGTGCATTTGTCCTATAAAGCAGGAGGCTCTTGTGACTGCTGCTCCAGGGACCCTGGTGTGTCCACCGTCCTAGAACCTGTGCCCTTCTGAGTGTGGAGGTGGCAGTGAGCAGCAGGAGGCAGGTAAGCCGGCTTCCTGCTTCCTTATTTTTTAAATCAAGGCCTTTAGGCACAGTGAGTTGGGTGGACCCCACCGTTGTTCGTGGCTCACTGTCTGTGTCAGGACAGGGGTTGGCATACCACAGCCTGTAGGCCTAATCTGGCCCGCTGCCTGTTTTTGTGTGGCCTGAAAGCTAAGAAAAGGACCTTAGACTTTATTTATTTTTTTTTTTTGTAGAGGGCAGTGTCACTGGCCCTCATATGTGGGATCCGAACTGGGGGCCTCTGGCATCCCAAGCCAGCTCTTAACCATCGCGCCACTCGGCCGGCCCAGGACCTTAGATTTTAAAACGTAAAATGTAAAAAAGACTGTTATGTTAGCCTTTAGGAAGTAATAGTTGTTCCTTCAAAACCTAAAGTATTTACCGTCTTGCCTTTTACAGAAAAAGTCTGCTGACCTCTTCTTGAGCAAGGCAAGGTTTCTTATGTAGTTTTTTTTTTTCTTCCTTTATTTATTTGATCTCCACTTTCATATTCCCGTTTCTCTTTCCTCGTGTAGACACCATCTCTATGTGGTGTATGTCCAATGGGTATATTTGTATCTTTGAAAAGGAGCCATTTCTTTATTCTTTTAGTTCTTCAGTTGTTTTTTTGCATTAAGTATTTTGAAGTTATCTTTAGGTGCATACACCTTTTGAATAGTTACATTTTCCTGGTAAATTGACCCTTTTATCATCATGAAACGTCCTTCTTTATCTCTAATAATGTTTCTTGCCTTAAAGTCTACTTTGTCTGATATTATTATTGTTATACCAGTTTTCTTTTGGTTAGTGTTTGCATAGTTCATCTTTATCCATCCTTTTACTTTAAACTTTTCTGTAGTTTTATATTTAAGTATCTCTTATAAGTAGCATATAGAGTTTTTTTTTAATGTATGGTGACTTTTTTTTTTTTCATTTTGAAGTATTATATATGTACAGAAAAGTATTAGTTTGGTAAATGCCTGATCGTTGTTTCTTTAAAACTACTTCTGTGCTCTTTTTTCCTCTCCTTTTATATCTTATTTCTTTGACCATGTCCCATATGTCTTTTACACTTTTTCTGCCTTATATCGGGGGTGCCAAAAATATGTATACAAGTAGACTTTGGTCAACGTTGCTCAAACAGTAGTTCGCCGTGTTCAGAAGTGTCTGGACTCTGATGGTAACCACCTTGAGCACCTCTTGTAAGTGCAGAAGTCAAACGTGACTTGTATTCATCTTCTGTTATCAGTATATATTGAGTATTACAATTTTAATAGTTTTTCCTTTTTTAAAATGTGTATACATTTTTTTGACACCCTCTGTATTTTCCATCTTTTTTCTCTCCATGCTTCAGCCTGGATGTTTTCTACTGACCTTTTCTTCCTCTTCATCAATCCATTCTTCTGTTGTGTACAATATGCTCTTATTTCAGAATTGCGTATTTTACTTCTAGAATTTCCATTTGATATTTTTTGTGGTAAAAATCATATATCATTAAAGCTACCATCTTAACCATTTTTAAGTATCCAGTTCAGTAATGTTAAGTATATTTGTACTATTGTGCAACAGATCTCTAGAACTTTTTTATCTAGTAAAACTGAAACTCTGTTAAGTTTTTGGGTAGTCAGAGTTATACACAGATTTTTAACTGCACACCCCTGCCCCCCATGTTGTTCAAGAGTCAGCTGTAGTGTGTTTTGAAATCAGGAAGTATGAGGCTTCTAACTTGGTTCTTTTGAAGAGAGTTTTGGCTGTTAAGGGTCCCTTGAGATACCATATGACTTTTAGGATGTTTATTATATTTGTGCAAAAAATACTATTGGGATTTTGATAGGGATTACATTGACTATGTAGGTTGATTTGGATAGTATGGATAGTTTAGCAATATTGAATCTTCCAAACCATGAGCACAGGATGTCTTTCCATTTATTTGTATCTTCTTCGATTTGTTTTTGCAGCATTTTGTAGTTTTCAGTGCATGCGCATGTCTTTTATCCCCTTGGTTAGGTTTATTCCTAAGTATCTTATCCTTTGTTGATGCTACAGTAAATGGGATTGTTTTCTTAATTTTGTTTTCAGATTGGTCCTTGTTAGTGCATAGAAATGCAACTGAGTTTTCTGTTGATTTTGTATCCTGAAACCTTGCTGAAATTATTAGTTGTAACAGTTTTTAAAATATATTCTTTAGGGTTTTCTACATAAAAGATCATGTCATCTGTGAACAGATAATTTTACTTCTTGTTTTCCAATTTGTATGCCTTTATTTCTTTTTCTTATCTAATTGTTCTGACTAGGATTTCCAGTACTACGTTGGATCGTAGTAGTGACAGCATCCTTGCCTTGTTACTGATCTTAAAAGGAAAACTTTCAGTCTTTTGCCATTGAGAATGATGCTTGCTATGGGTTCTTCATATATGGCTTTTATTATGTTGAGGTGGTTTCTTTCTATTCCTAGGTTGTTGAATGTTTTTTGTCATAAAAGGGTGTTGAATTTTATCAGATGCTTTTTCTGCATCAGTTGAGATGATCATGTGGTTTTTTGTCTTTCATTTTGTTAATGTGTATGATATTGATGGTTTTTGTATGTTGAACTGTCATTGCATTCAGGTATAAATCCCACGTGGTCATGGTATATAATCCTTTTAATATACTGTTGAATTCAGTTTGCTACGATTTTGTTAAGGATTTTTGTATCAATATTCATCTGGGATATTGGTTGGTAGTTTTCTTGTGTGTTTGCCTGGTTTTGATATCAGAGTAATCAGAATAAGCTCATAGAATGAGTTTGGAAGTTTTTCTTCTTCTTTAATTCTTTGGGAAAGTTTGAGGATGATTGTTGTTAATTCTTCTTTAAATGTTTGATAGAATTCTCTGGTGAAGCCATCTGGTTCTGGACATTTTTTTGTTGGGAAGTTTTTTGATTACTGTTCTAGTCTTGTTACAAGTTTGTTCAGATTTTTTATTTCTTCATGATTCAGTCTTGATAGGTTGTATGTTTCTAAGATTTTATCATTTCTTCTAGGTTATGCTAATTGTTGACATAATTGCTCATAGTAGTTTCTTTTTTTTTTTTTTTTAAGATTTTATTGGGGAATTGGGGGATGGGAACAGTGCTGGGGAATTGGGGGAAGGGGAACAGACAAGTTGCTGTCGTTTTGTTCTTCAGTCTAGTTGTGGAGGA